AGGGATGGCTCACCGCCAATAAACTGAAATTCTTGGTGTGAGACCTATGTCAGTGCCATCTGAGGAGAATTTCTGGGTAAATTATTTCAAAGACCTTTTCTAAATTAGCTGCTCTTCTAACACTCCTGGGAATACATGAAACACAGACCAGTACATGCAGATACTAACATAAGTAGCTGGTATAAGAAGCTGGCAGTCTGCTCTTTGGTCAGTCTATCGAATTCCACACGGTATGAGGCTAGGTCAGCTAGGGCACAAGGGACTGACCCTGCGTAGAAAAGTCTTCATTATAACTTGATCGTGTGCTACTCATCCCTGCGTTTCCCATCTACAGTCTCACTAGAAAGATTGTTCACTTCTCTCACCTTAAGTTTGCAGAAATCAGGATCACAGCTTTTTATCTGTCCACCTCACTCTCTCTGCGGGTCTCATCCTTTCCCGTATGGCCATGCTCCCACTGAGCTTCTGGATATTCGAGCAGTCCTGGAGCTACTGTCACTGATGCTGGTTTATCAATAACCATCTATCCCTAAGTAACACTTGCTCCAAAGGGCCACTGGCCAGTTTGAGAGCAGGAATCTTTCTGCCCTCCTGTAAGAGGAACCTAAGAGAAAAATACAATAAAAATCTGTTAACAGTTATTATAAAAATAAAATCTGTATATATGATACTTATAGTTTAGTAGAAAGGCAGCTTATGTGTCACATAAAGAACCTTCCTGAAACCAGTAATAAATTCTTATAGAAAGGTATTCATCTGGAGTACAGATATAAAAAACATAAAACAACAGTCATTAACTTCTCAGCATCTGAAAAGTAGGGAAAAAAAGAGTAATATAAAATAAGTCAGAGACATTTGCACAAGTCATAATTGGGAAATTCTCTGCAACTCTGAGCAAAGCAACAAAATGAGACTTGAATATGTATTCAAATAGTTACTGAGAGAAAACTGTGGGCAAAAAATAGCAAGAGATGATATAATCATTTAATTTCCTACAAAACAAAAGGGGTCAGGGAAGAACACATGACAGAGTAGAGCTCTGTCAACCCAGAACTCACCTGGTGACCTTGACCTTCCTGAAAGGGAATCTTTATTCTCAAGCACCCCAAAGGGAAATGAACCAAGTAATGCAGCCACAAGGGAAATTTGAAAAGTTGGGGTTTTTCTTGTTTTGTTTTTGCCTTTGGCCATATCTGTATCTGAAATAAGAAGTCTTCCCCATTCACAAACAAAACAAAATAACATAAGCAGGAAAAAAAAAAAACCCACCATTCTGACTATTACCTCATTTTACCATTTTCTCTCAGCAGTTAATGATTTCCAGTGCCCGGGATTAGATCTTAGAGTTATGGGGCTCCTAGCTCTACCTTCTCTGAGCTACCTCTCCAGAGCAGATCACTAACATTCACCTACCATCACTGGTGCCTTGGATTTCTTTCTCTTATTGGAATACAAGGGATTCTGGGCACAAAAAGTCAAGCTTTTGGAAAAGCATAGGGTCCAGACACCATATACAGCTCCATCAAGGAAGTGAGATAGATTTTAGCTTATATGAAATTTATTTTATGAAGTACTAATTCTACCACCAAATAATATCTTCATGCAAATTATGCTTTGCTTCAACCTCTGCATTCTTTATTCACTGCAATAATTAAATAAATCCCTGAAAATATTCATTTAATTGGTGTAGTGCTTTACTCAATCTTTTGCTGTTTTCACAAGTCCCTCTATACAAAGTATAATTTTCCACTGGGATGAACAAAAGAGACTCTTTGACATCTGGGGAGTGGGGGGTTGTAACAGCACTGGAAAACAAAAGTCAGATCACAAACCCCCTCCTCAAAGACAAATACAGATCAGTTCCTACTTTTGATCTAGGCAGAAAGCCAAACCTAGAATAAGAGAAGCCATATGTATGTGTTTGAGAGAAAGTTGCGTACATAAGTAGGGATTTTCCCCCAAATAATGACGTTAACTTTTTGATGGCTTTTGGAGGATGATGGAAATGTAATAGTCAGACTACAAAACTTTAAGATGTTTTCCAAATACTTCGAGGTAATTTTTAAAAGAGAAGAAACAGCATGATAAAGGGGCTACAGCCTTCATCAAGACTGATTAATGCCAAAAGGGCAGCTCTGGTATTTAAAGGTTCACCAGTTTCCCTACACTCAAATGCAGATGAAACTTGTTCCCAGATATTTTTATCCACGTCCAAAAGAAGAAATATCTCTGACTAATAGGAGAGAGCCTGTAAAACTGCCCACCCTCATGGCCTTCCTGATTTTCATTTATCCTTAAAGATCATAAAAACAAGTGAGTGATTCTTTAGTTACTATTAGAAACCCTCTTTTAGATACATCTGGGCAGTTCACAAAGATTGATCCTAACATCCCTAGGCTGGGAAGAGTCTAAAGGTCTTCTAAACAAGTGGTTCTCCACTGGGAGCAATTTGGTCCCTGAAGAACCTTTGGCCTGTCTGGAGACTTTTGATGGTCACAACTGGAGTAGGGGGAGGTGCCCCTGGCATCTAATGAGTAGAGGCCAGGAATGTGGCAAAACATCCCACACTGCACAGGACAGTCCTTGACAAGAGAGCAAATAGGGCTGAAAATATCAGATGCAGAGGATGAGAAACACTGTTTCAGAATCAGTGTCCCCGAGATCAGCCCAATCTGGGAGGAACCACGATCTTGAGGATGTGTTATTGGCAGTCCTCATGGTGAGCAGCCATGTTCCCCTTGCTGTGCATACGTTCAGTTGGTGGGGTTTCTGTCCCTATTTCTAAGCAGGGTGGTCTTCCTTGTAAGCAATTATTTGGAGCCCACTGCCCTGCTCCTTTCTTCTAGCAGATTTGGTGTTCAGATCCTGACCCACTGTAGCCAAAATGGCACAAAAGGAAGATGAGAACTATAATGGTGATGTTCTTTGGCTTTTCTCAGCCTATATAGAATATTGTAAATTAAGAGAAATGACATTTGGAATTTTACTTCCACCTCTAGGCCAAGCAGTATGTCTGACAATGACTATAAACAAACATAAATTTCAGGACTAGTTTGGATATTTGAATTCTACTTCATACTATACAATTATATGAGTTCCCAAATTGATATATTTAGTCGAGGAAACAATGACATAGCATATAATAAAGCCAAAAATATATTTACATTTTCCTCTACTTGAAAATATTTAAATATAAATTTTTAAAAATATCAGTGCAAAGTGGCCAATGTCTTTTTCCTGAGAAGGAAAAATATTCTGGGAGAATGTACTTCATTAATTTTGGTGTCAAAGTAATGGTGAAAATAGTGTCTGGGTTTATTTTTTTGTCTGTCTGTAAGAATCTTCCTTAGTATGTTGGAAACTTTTTTTCGCTGGTTTGCCAATTATTCACTTGAAGTTCTACTGGTGCCTGAAACCCCGAATTCTGGAATCACTGTTCAAGTCCAGCCAACCATCAAACAGTCAGGGTCTTTGCTTAAGCAATTCTTGTGGTGAGGAATGTCATATTCGGCCAGTCCTACTGCAAAGTTCTTTATGTTGAGGTGAAACATAATGTTTGTAATCACCTTCTTGCAATTTCTTGGCTCTTTGCTCTTGTTCTACCCTTCAGGGCCCAGCAAATGAGCCAAATCCTACCTCTACAGGACAGCAACAGGCCAGGATGGAACCATCATGGTAACCATGATGTTACCACGCCCGTCCTGACCTTGGTCTCCTCTATGCCAAGCAGTTGCCAGTGCTACACCTGACACAACTCTGAGTTCCTCTCATCATTCTGGTCATTGTCCCTCTAAACAGCTTCCAGTTTCTATCAAATTGAGCAACATAAGGTTTGACTAAAGCAAAGCTGAACAGTCCTATCCTTTTTTTATTTCTGCCATTTCACTCATACTTTGCAGCTTTAGGACAAATTAGGTTTGTTGGCAGGCTTTAGTAGTACTGACACAGGAAATTGTCGTCAAATCAAATCAGAGATATTTAAACAAATTCTTCTTTTAACCCACATGCCCCCTATTGTGTATACATCCAATTGATGGGGTTTCTGTTTGAATCCAGGTTGGAATTATGTTTTAATTTATCGCTCCTAATTTTTATCTTGTTATTGTTAGCACCCTGCTGAGATTTTTAAAAATAGTTTTCTTATAAAATATTTCAAACATATGAAAATTTAGAGAGACTAATATAATGAAAATCCATGTGCCCAAACCCAGATATAATAACTATTAACATTATACCATATTTTCTTTCAGTTTTTTTTTTAGAAAACCAAACATTGAGTATAGTCACAGCCCACCTGATAGCTCTGAAATCTCATCCCCTTCCCTGTCTCCTCAGTAAAATCACTATCCTGCAGGTGCAATGTATCCTTATCAGCCCAACTGTACATACCTAACCCAACATGTGCAGACAGCTATGAACACTATGTACACATCAATTTTAAATGTTATCATAGAGTAGACATCACTCTATGATTTGGTTTTTTTAATTCATCTCTTGTTTCTGGCACTTAGCTTTGTTGGAACATGAAGTTCCAGCTCTCTAATTTTCACATGTCCATTTATCCAGTCTCTTATTTTCTCCTTTCAGTGCTACTGTGAGCATCCTTAAACACAGCATCTCCTGTCCCTGTATAAGAGTGGCTTTAGGACAGACATCCAGAAGTGAAGTTTGAGTTAAAGGTAGTGATACATAACTATAATAGATATTGTCAAATTGCTTTTTAAATCATTAGTACTAATTTATGTTTCCACTAATAGTGACTGAGAGCTTGCATTACTCCACATACTTGGCAATACTTGGTGTTATGAGTTCAATTGTGTCCTCATCCAAAATTGACTTAAGAAATCATGTTGAAAATTCATACTGTAGTCCCAACCACGAATACCTCAAATGTGACCTTATTTGGAAACAGGATCATTGCAAATGAAACTAATTAAGATGACATCATATTACAGTAGGGTGAGCTCCTAGTCCAATGACGATATCCTTATAAAAAGAGGAAATTTGAATACAGAGATTTGCACACTGGGAGAAACTCATGTAAAGATAAAGGTAGACAGAGATTGAGGTGATGTAGCAGACACCAAGGAACACCAGAGATTGCCAGCAAACTACTAGAAGCTCAGAGAAAGCACAGAACTGGTTCTCATAGCTCCCAGGAGAAGCCAACCCTGCCAACAACTTGATCTCAGATTTCTAGGCTGCAGAACTATGAAACAGTAAATTTCTGTTGATCAAACCACCCAGTCTGTGGTACTTTGTTACACCAGCTCTAGCAAATCAACATACTTGCTATTACATGATTTTTTTAATGTATGCCAATCTAATGGATATAAAACAGTCTTACTTTAATCTTATTTTAATTTTCATTTTCTTTAACTAATGATACTGAGTATATATATTACTAATTTGTATTCCCTCTTCAGAGAATGGTAATCTTTTTAATCTCCTTTATCTACTTTTTAACTGACTTCTAATTTTGATCATTTTTACATAAACATTAATTTTTCAACAATACTTATGAAATAGGCTCTTGGTGTTATACTTTAAAATGTTTCCTGATCAACTATCTTC